AGCTAAAGACAAGGGTTTGTAATAATTTAGCAACATAATACTGGTAAGTATTATTTATTATTGAAAACATTGGTGAAATAAATTGCCTATTTAAAAAAAAAATCAAAAAACAAAAAACAAGAGAAAATCTATTAGACAATGTTAAAAAATAAAAGGCAGTTTTAGAAATGTGTTTTTTTTTTAACATGCATACAGCTTTTAGCTTTTGTAGTTGCTCACATACGTGTAAAAAAGTACATTAAGGTCCTATTCTGATTTGAAGAAGTGTGTTTAATCAGGAAAAGAAGGTAAGAAGAGTCAAAGGAGACTTCCTGCTGAGCTTATATCTTTGTACCACCACAACCCCCACTTGTTCCTCTTTAAGAGCTGAAATAGTGTGAAAATCAGACTCAGAAAAACCCTAATTAGCAGGGTTTGGTCAGGCAGCAGTTCCCAAGGCACAGACACACACGCAGGTGTCTGCCTGACAGTCATTGGCATTCTCTCCAGCAAATTGTGTGACTCAGATCAAGTCAGCAATATACCCCTGGGAGTTGGATTAGGCTTGGTATAGCGAAGGGCAAAACACCATTTTCTTGTTGAGAGGAAGTCACACTGTTATTGACACATGCCTAACCAACTCCAAATTTATGCCACATGTTTTGCATATCACAAAAGATGAGACTGGCTCCTGTGTCCTGGTTGTCATTGCAGGATAGGGATTGATGCACTGTCTTGTAGTTGTTAAGATGAACAGCCCAAACAGTTCACTCTATCTGCATTTTCTTCCAGACAGTGAGGAAATGTGGCTCCTGGTTAGTTTTTAGTATAAACTATTATTCTACATTAAGAACGGGTACCTTTCACATTTGAACCGATACGGTTCCGATGCCTGGTACCTGGGAATCGGTATCAGTAGTCAACGGTACCAATTTTCGGTACTTTTTTATGTGTTTATGTGGTAAGAAATGTTAATCCGTTTAAAAATAAAATCTCAATTTTCAATTTAAAATGTATTTTTCTATATATAAACTCAAACATCCAGCTGTTTGTATTGTAACATCTCAGTTGTTTCAAACATTTCTTCTCCCATGCTGGTAGCTGCAGACATATGCAGGCGTGCTAACGGTGCCGAATGCAGGAGTGGCCGTAGCTCTAAGGCTATCGAAAACGGTGCACTCTTCAGCCTTCAGAAAAATCTTGTGCTTAAACGAGGTGCTTCCTAAGATTAGAAGTATTCCCGCCGATGGCCTTGCACTTTGCATCACAAATATTGCAGAACTTGAAAATATTGCACTTGAAAAGTGAAACCATACGTTTGAACGCTTTCTAACACCCATGCTTTCTTGACTGAACCAGCGCATACTGACACTCTTGTACGTGAAATGCTGTGTTCATGTCCGGTATGGAAAATTGGCCACTCTTCCACTCCCTCAGTGTCTCGATGATGCATTTGGGCACCGAAACATCGTATCGTTTGATTTTACGGAATTAGGTACTTGGTATTACTGATGGAATTAAGTCGGTACCTATAAAAGTACCGAATTTGGTACCCATCCCCGCTCTACATGCTATGTATATTAAAATATAGATTTTTCATCAAATGTATTATATTGTACTATGACATTAACTTCCTTTTTAAAGAGTTTATTTTTCTTTTAAATTTGAGTTTTTATTTTTATTTTTTATTATTATTTAGGTTTGAGTACTCTCTAAAAAGCCTCAACCAATTATGGAATAAGATTTATTTCATAATTTTGCCCATCTCTGCTGATTTACTACATTATTCAATCTTTATTTTATTGTAATGCATTGAGGCTTAGCTGACATTTTCAAAATGTATAGTATATGAATTTTTATTTAATAATAATTCTACATTTCAGTGGTAAAAAACATTTTGAATACTAAGGCTGACATCATGTAATAATGCAAAACCGCCTTCCAGTAAATGATTATGTTAGTGTTTTTATTGTGATAAATTGTGTTTTTATATAAACCTATTTTGTTGTTGTGAGAGAATCACTGTGATTTACGGACAGATATGCTTATAAATTTTGTTTTTATTTGAGCATACAGATTGTTTGTGATTTTTTTGCTGACTCATTTTTGACACAACCTTTATAGACAAAAAACAAATGACAGAGTGTGCAAAGCAGCTAGAAAAAGCTAAATGTTAAGTCATGGGATGTTAAGGGATGAACAAGTATGCTGTGAGACAGATTTCCAAATGCCAGGACTCGTTCAAAGAGGAGACAGAGGCAGCCACAGAGATACTGTCTGACCCTGGTCAGTTTTCTATCATGGTGTTACCATGGGAACAGGTGTCAGCACTCACATGAAGGGTGCTGGAGGTTGAAAAGTGTGTGTTTGTGGAGCTGTTTGTGACCACAAGGGTATGAACCAAACTCACAAACAGACAAATGCAAACGTGGATCATCTTTTCTGAAACAAAGTGCTGTTGCTAGCCGTTGCAGTCCATTGAAATGTAGTTTGTGCTGGAGAATGGTTTGAACATAAGCGAAGCGCAAGATTCATAATCATCTTGAAAACTAAAGCAAGACAACATTGATATAAGTGGTGAGGCTACATTAGGCCACACTAATTACTATCAAGGCTCACACAACATCATTACCTTGAAGTTTCCGTTTTAAATTACTATGCTGGTGGTGTCTTACTCCAGATAAAAATACTAATTTAAGTAATTGTTAATCACAAAGTTTTATGATGGAAAATGTTAGCAGCCTCAAGTCATCTGTAGGGCAAATTCTTACATCCTAAAACATATGTGTACTATTGACCTTAAAAATATAAACAAATACCAAGCATGACAACTTTTATAGCCTAAGCTTATTGTCTCGTCTGTCCCTAGTTTAGCTTGTGAATACAGACATATAATTCAAACTTTGCAATTCAAATAGGTAACTAACATGCAATTTAACAATCATCTAAAAATAGATTGATTCCATTTTAGTTTAAAGTCTAATCATAAACAATTATAAATAATGATCAGCTAAACACTAATACACTGATCGGCTGTTAACAGATATGATGGACTCTTTCTTTTTTACATTTTGTAAATTTAATAAAAACACATCTTCACGGTAGTTAGTAGTAGGTACTTAACAGGTACCTCATTATTACGTGACTATATCCTTTTTTTAGCCAATATGCAGACTGAAATCTCATTTGTAGGTTTTAGTGTCAGTATCTGTTTTTTGTTTTCTCATATTCAAAATCAAAAAATTAATTAATTAATTGCAGATAATCTATATAATGTAATATTAAACAATATCATTGTTGTTCATTCTTAGTTCTTTTGACAAAGTCTATGAAATGTACTAAACAAAAAAAAACAACAACTGTACTGAACTATAATTGCAAAATGGTTATTAAACTACCAGTCAAAGGTTTGGACACACCTTATTCAATGGCTTGTCTTTATTATTACTCCTACCTCTGGGAACTCCTTCAAGACTGTTGGAAAACCATTTCAAGTGACTACCTCATGAAGCTCATTGACAAAATACAAAGAGTGTGCAATGCAGTAATCAAAGCAAAGGGGGGCTGTTTTGAAGAATGTAAAATAAAATAAAATAAAAGATGTTTTGAGTTATTTCACAATTGTTTGTTTGCCACATAATTCTATATACTGTTGCTTCATTGTGTTGATGTCTTCCCAATATATCTACAATATAGAAAGTAATACAAATAAAGAAAAGCCACTGAACGGCAAAGGTGTGTCCAAACCTTTGACTGGTAGTGTATTTTCTTGCTAGAAAATCTTGCAATAACTATTAAGTTAACCACAAATCTGCACACGACCGTATGTACGTTTAAACAACTAAACACTGATACACTGGACCATCTATTTCCTAGTAGACACTCACCCTTAAAAAAAAACATCTATAACCCACCTTCAAGAATTTGAAAAAGCACAGTCGTGAATATAAATAAGGCAGTGTTTTAGAAATGATGGCCAAATCATGTAATATATCAAACACAGCCAAGTCATCTGAACAGATCCAGCTGGCTTTTTCCTACAGCTTAGCTCTGTGACAGCAACTGTGTCCCCAATCCTTTCTCTTCTGCTTCCTGTCTTTTCCTGAGGCTAAGACAGAAGTTAGGAAGAGAGTTCACCACCCACTGGTGCTGTTGCTGCATGGACAGGGGAGAGGCAATTTAGTTCACCCTGTGGTCATAAGCTGAATCAAAAGAGGAGGGTTAAGTGGTGAGGCTGATGTAGAGGGAGAGAAAGTAGAGTTGAATACAGCTGAGTGAGCAAGGCTGCAGTTCGGAATTAGCTGCGTGCCGTTGTTTAAAGTTGAAATGAAAATGTGCACTTTAAAGCTACTGCAATTTTACAGTATAACATATATAAACTCAAGCAATTCCTAGAAGCAAAAAGTTAGGCTATGTTTACATCCAAATATTTTGAATAAAGTCACTTTATGTTTTAAATGTGCTTCACTGGATAATCATTAAATAATAAAGTGATAAAACATTTGGACTGCAACTGCTATTTTAGCCACTTTCATCCTTTTGGCTAGTTTAATGACTAGTAACATATAGTTAAAAAATACCAGTTTCTGTGTTGAAAAGGCATAACAAACCAAAAAAAAACACCTCAAATCTATTAGAATTGTTGTGCAACAATATTGATTTTGGCTATGAATAACTTTTATTAAGTGCCAAGAGCAATTATCAATAGTTAGTAATTCTATTCAAAATTAGCACCACCAAATTATCAGGAAGTAAAAGCCAAATAGCTCACAGGCTCTGTCAGTTATTGTTTTATGAATACCTGCCTGATGAGGTGTGATATTATAGAACAATAGATAAAGTTAATGTGCGCACTGGCGTTCTGAAACAGCAAGCCCTACTCACATATACAGAATAAACACCAACAACATCTCTCTGTGTAGAGTGACCAAATAAGCTAACACTCATGTTTTTGGACTGTGGGAGGAAGCCAGAGTACCCAGAGAGAACCCATGCATGCACGGGGAGAACATGCAAACTCCATGCAGAAAGCCCCCCGGCCGAGAGTCGAACTGAGGACCTTCTTGCTGCAAGGTAGCAGTGCTACCAACTGCACTACCGTGCAGCCCAGTATCAAAAATCATTTGCTGAATAAGAAATCAATAATAACGTTTGTTCCTGACTGTCAGTGGGCCTGCTTACACCATATGGTACTGGCAGACTTATATAGATATAACTGAATGAAAAAAGATAGAGAAATGCACAGAAACATTCTTGATAAAAATCTGACAATGACAAGTCTGTGGATTTCAAAGCAAGACCCAAACACAGCCAAGGAAACTCCTAACTGATTGCAGAGAAAGAAAGTATAATGAATCTTTTATCGTTGATGCATGTGGAAATGAAGAAACATGCTCTTCCACAAAATCATTAATATATTTCTGTAAGTGTGTTCAATACTTGTTATCTCATTCCAGTTTTTTGTTCATAACCATTTGTGGTCTTAGATTAGATTTCTTTGTAAATGTGGATTACCTGGGTTGTTGCTGACATTTATTTACTTGTTTGTCTCCGTTTCCAGAGATAAATAAAAGAGTGGTGTGATCAATACTTATTTCACCTGCTGTAGCCTATATGCAACATTGAATGTCTTAAATTGGTAGGACAAATATGTTGCTTGTCCAAAAAAAAAAAACGTATTGCAGCCCACAGCGGGCACTAGGCATGATGGGCTCTTCACTTCATGTGCCTTTCCCTGATACAACCACAAGTCTAAAAAATAGTAAATCTGGACCTATCAAAACACATAACCTTCTTTCATTGCTCCAGACTCTAATCGTTATGCTTCCATGTTGAGGCCTTTTTTTTCCCAGTTAACCTCACTGACCATTGCTCTTTTCTGTGACAATAAGATGTGTCTTCAGACATGGTTGTATAGCAAACAAAAAGCTACTGTATAGTTAAAAACTTTGCTGCCAGCTGAAATAAAATTATCCAAGCAGTAATTGTCCAATAGGAGGGTCTTACTCATTTGGTTTGTTGAATCCAGATATTTTTTTTGCTTGGAAAGGCAATGTATTTATGACACTAACAAGATTCTATAAAATTTGCTTGATATTTTTTCCAAACTACGTTAGATTTTTTTGTTAAAATATTCAGATTTATTTGTTCCTATATTTTTTTTAACAACCATATTAAAAAAGAAGACAAAAAACAAACAAACAAACAAACATATTTTGATTTACAATTTGATATAGTTTGTATAAAAAAATATGTGTCATGATCTGCCTGTAATATGTTTTGAGTTTGAGTTCCTAGTCTGTTTTGCCTACGTTCTTCAGTTGCTGTTAGTTGAGTTTGTTTAGATTCATAATTTTATTCTTGTGTTTACTCTCTTGGATACCTGTGCTAGATGTGTTAGTTATATGTCTTGTAGTCCTCCCCGCTTATGTTCTTTAGTTAGTTTCATTGTTTACGTTTTCTGTTTAATTAGATATTATGTTATTTTCCTGGATTCCTGGTCATCTGTGTTCATTAGCCACCCTCCTTCAGTTGCCCACATTCCATCTTCTACCAATTGTTCCTGATTGCCTCCTAATTAGCTCCCAGTGTTCATTGGTCCATTCTCCACTCTATCCCAGTACTTGTACCTTCTGGTTTTCATTGTGCTACGCTGGATCCCCTGCCTACCTACCTGTTCCATGTCTCCGTGTACCTGCCTGCAATCCTGCCTAAAGTACATTTGTGTTCTGTAAGTCATTTTAGTAATATTAAAACTCCTCAACTCACCTTTCAGGCCCCGCCCTCCTGCTTGCACTTTGGTCCTGCTCCACCTCAGCACAATATGACAATATGAATGATATAAACATATTGGCCAATTTTTAAATGGCTTCCTGAGTAATAGTACACTAAGTGAAACACTGTCTCTCTGTATAACTTGCATTATGATTGAAAGGAAAATCATCTTAGCTGAGACATTCCAATTTTAAGTCTCCCAGATGCCAATGGTTTCTAAAAAGACAAAAAGAAATACGTTTTTATGTATAGATAGGTTTACGTATGTGTATGTTTGTGTGCATCAATAAGTCTTTCTGTGAACCTTTATCTTGTCTTAGCAAAGGTAAGAGTATTTAACTTTTAGAACCTGGAGCTTTGTGACACTGAGTTCAGTTAGCATTTATTGCTGGTAATAAAGTCTGTTTCTTTAACTTTAGAAAGGGAGAAGTTAATCACAATAATGTGCAAGCAACATTTAACAAGATACTTTATTGTAATGTCTGCAAAATCTATTAAACAGTCATGCCACCCGGCTATTTTTGTCACCTGCTGTTCGCCTGATATGAGGAATAAGCTGGATGTCCACCATCTATCTAGGTTTTATGAGCTCAGCAGCTCTACACCTTCACATCAGTCAAAAACATAAAATTGTTCAGATAACACTAGTGTGAAAAGACATTTACGTTGATGTCATAATTGGAGAACGGTCGTTGTTGTTCTTCTGTTTTATTGGCACCATTCTATGAATTTATTAGTGTTACGAAGAGTCTATAATTTTTCTGTGTTAGAAAATATATCACAGCACTGCTTTGTGGAATCATAGATGAGTTGGTGCAAGAGGGCAGAAAATGAGCTCATTCAGTGGGCTACAGTTCTCTCTTTGGAAAGCTACATTTATTTTTTTCTTTTTCAGGCCCGCCAGAGCCTTCTGTTCTGCCAAGCGGCTGAATGTTTTGTGGCGTCATGGGCAGGATGGCGGGGCTACATCAGAGCAAGAAGCCAAATTGATCAGTCTTTTTAACTGCAGCCAAAAGCTGCCACCATAGTAAAGATAGGCCTTGATCAGGCTGTTGTGATCTACAAAGCGCACAACAGAGAGATGGAGGAAACTACATGGGCAGGCAACTCATCCCTCCACGTCCGCCTCTTCATCTCTACCTCTTTATCTTTCTTTTGTTGTATGTCTCATTGCCTCTCTGCTTTCCATTGTATCGCTGCTGTTGTTGAAATATCCCCCAGTGGACAAGCTTGGAAACACTAACAGGTGCAGGTTTTCCAGCCTCTCCTCTTGGCCGACCACTCAGAGGCTCTGTCTCAAGTTCAAATAAACACTCTATTGCTTTCTTAGTAGAACATTAATTGCCTGATGGGTTGGAAGGTCTGGGCCATGTGTTTGGCCCAGATGGGGCTCTGGCTAGCTGTAGGCAACAATAAATTTGCAAGCACATGAACTAACATAATTGTGTGAATATATGCACAGATTTTTAGTAAACACAAATCTCAGTGTGAACTATTTAGGGGACGCACATGCAAGGAGAAAGGGATCCGGGACTCATCTTCCAACACCAAATAAAACTACACACTTAATAAATTTTGAGGAAATGTACCCCAGGCTATACTGAAAGTGAACTGAACCATGCAGTCAGGCATCATTTTATCTGCACTGTGTACTGTTTCACTCTGTGTTGTTGGTGTCTAACTCCCACTCACACTTCAGTGAATTGTAAATTGCCTAAAAGTAGCAAAATGCTTGACAGTTTGTCAATATATGAACCTTTTATTTTAATAGTTCACCATATTAGAGAAGTTTGGACCCTTAGGAAATGTAAGGTTTGCGTCTATGGTGGTTTGCTTGGTGAAAAACAGATTTTATGTCTTCAAAGGATGGAGTCCTTTTTGTGTTAATTGAAAAGGACCTTTTTAATGTTATATATTGTAACTTGAAATGTACCTAACAGTATTAAATGGTATTACCTTTACTTTAGGAAATATGACTGGTTTTGCATATGCCAAACATTATTTCAAAATGGCCTGAATGATGAGTATTAAAACAAAATCCATTTTAATCCTACCTGACATTTGTTTTTAAACTAGGTGCTGTAAACTACCTGAAAATAAAATGTTGGTTAAATTTCACAATGTGTTATGGATTATATTTACTTCAAAACTTGTCTCAGACTTTTCTTCTGGGTATAATTAATGCACACACCCTTAAAATAAAACCGATGTGTATTCATGACCCTATCAATTCAAGATTCAATATATTTTATCCTTACTGTATGTGATAGACCAGTGGTTATAATTGTGAGTCAAAAAGACAACAATACATGGCTTTCGAACCTTTCTTGAAAAATTAAACTAATAGGATTTGTATTTTGTGGGCTACTTTGATACCCCTAAATCAAATCCTACCTTTAGAATTCACCTAATTAGTAAATAAAGTCCACCTGTGTGTAATTATATCTCTGTATAAATGCAGCTGTCCTGTTAAGACCCCAGAAATTTTGTAGAATACATTAGTGAACAAGTAGCATCAAGAAGACACAGGGAGACAGCACACAGATCGAGGATAATGCTTTGGAGAACTTTAAAGCAGGGTTAGGATGTAAAATAAAATGCCTTGCCACTGAGCACCCACCTCAAATCCCAAACCCTTATGTGTGTATAGTGTATGTTGAGGATAAGCATAGCAGAGAAGGGGGCACTGCATGGTGCTCCCCCCATGCCTGCACGATCCATCGTCCCACACCTCAAAACCCTACTGATGTGTGGTGTTGCATATGTTAGGGAGGAGTGGATGGGCGTTAAGGCACCAGCTCCCCAACTGGCTTTCTTGTCCCACCTGTGCCTACACAATACAGCATCGGTCATGCAGTCTTTGGGGCACAAATTTTCATCCAGCCACTACATTTACAGCCATCATCGCTCTCCGTTATTGTTTTTTTCTCTGCTTAACATCAATTCCTGCTTCATGAAACTCATGTTCCAGGAAATCACAAGAGCATTGCTGATGCACCGTCTTGCTTCTCTTTTCAAAAATTCCGACTATTGTCATCAGATTCAGAAATCAACTTCAGTCCCTTCATTTTCTGCAACTAACTTTCCAGTTAGTCAAACTGTGCCATGCTTCTCAGGAAACCATTCTCAACAGCCTTGCTCTTTGCAAGTCGGCTTACTTGTCAGACTGGATCCTTTCTCACAGCTTATCAACTGCACTGCTCCTCTCTTGATACTGTGTTCATCTGTCACTTCATTACTTCCTGTAAGTCCATCCTTAAATACTGTACATACCTCTATCAACCAGACTTACATGTCCAGCATACATTTTTTCTTTAAGCTCGTAACGGG